ACTGTCTGACGCGTCTGCCTCCGCGACCCGAAAGGAGAAGCGGCGATGGAAGATGAAGATGAAGATATTACATCGCTTACGGACTAAAAATGGGTCAAAGGAATTTCTGTTGGCACGACGAGCTTCCGAGTACTTCTGGTAAGCAGCGTAATACTGCTATGCACCAGCGTAGAGCAAGTGCATAAATAACATAGGACCTTAACACGCCTAAATTTCCTCCTAAGCTTTCAGAAGCTAGGTGAAGGTACGATTTTACCGCATAATTCAATTTGATAACTGTGTTTGTGCGACAATATAAATAGAACTAACTGTGAATGATTTAATGCTAAGTACATAATTTTAGCCCTTAAGAAACCTCAGGTCATTTGGACAAATTCAAGGCTCCTGAACCTGCTGAAATGAATCAATTTGAGCTTAAAGAAATGCAAACGACGTTCAGTGGGAAACTCATCTCTGCAACAGTGAACCGACAGCAAAATGGCATGGAGCACTTTTGGAAGACTAAAAACGTTCTTATGCGGAAAACCGCTCTAGTGCTTGAATCGAAAAGTTTTCGATCCATGTACTATTAGTGTTAACGTATGTCTATTCATAAATTGCAGGCAAGGCAGCGTAGTATGGAAAGATATGCAGGAAATGGCGAGTAAAAATTAAAAGACACATATGGATAATGGCACAAACAGAAGTCTGCGAGGTCATTGCATGAGTGAAGGAGTTGCAATGGACTTGGGCAAGACATGTCGCAAGAATAACCGACCGTTGCCGGACCAAGGCGACACTACATTGGACTCCAGAAAGAGTGAACGGCCATCAGGAAGACCTCCAAATCGATGGCAGGATAAGCTGTAGAAGTTCATTGTATCACGAAAGGATAAGAATCGAAGAAAATAGTAGATTATGGCAAAGTCTTGCGAGACCTTCATCCAACAGTAGATCGAATAAGGGCATGATTAATCTAGCGTCTCCGTGTGGCTCAGTGAACCTCTCTTTCGTGCAGACTGACCGGTGAGCCTAATTTCAGATTATATTTGAAAAGATTTTAAATGAGATACGTGCAAGTTCTAAATTAGGAATCCGATCGGTAAGCATAGAACAAATCACTGAAAAAAATCATGAGTAATTGTGATGTTCGTACTTTTTTTCTAAAACTTTTTTGTCGAAGACAGAATAAACTTTGCGTTGTTTCGCGATGCGAAAAATGTGAAGTGATGAGGAAGAAAATAATGTGACCCTAGGTGACCGAGTTCAAGCTTTTCCGGTGTCTCGTTGATGACCAGTGGGGCGTTTAAGCGCCCGATTGTTTTTGAGTTTACACATTGTGCTGATGCCCGCACAGTGCATAATTAGCTGTCAGACGAATTTGCAGCCTTAAGAGGCGCTCGATACTGTCATACCTCTTGCCAATACTGATATGATAACGTCAGCACATGATGTTGTCCCTATTTTTAGCAAGTCAAAGACTTGCTACCAGCTTATCGGCTGGTTGCGCTGAAGTAACCTTGGGTGAATTGCTGTTCAGAATTTTTTCTGTCTCTTGGGGTTATAACCTACAAATCTCTGGAATTCGATGCCGTCCTGTTGCCGCTGTTCGACTATGGCCAGCGTCCGCAGTGAAAAAATGGCTGTTATTCCACAGGGTCAGCTTGGGAAGTGACGAAGACCCGCAGCAAAACGGATATTTCAGACTAATCATACGTATATAATTTGCATAAATAACATTTGATCCCTATCCATATTGAGCATATAATGGGTTTACGTGACAATTGTACGTGTTTACTGCTCATGTACATTTTTCTGTGCAGAGAGAGCTCGGCGAATATGTTTCCGGCAACCGACGCCCCTGCTCTATGTGACTGTCATTAAACCTAATTATGATATGGCTCGGAATAAATAAACAAGCGATCTCGTAGGTTTTCTGCGCAAAAAATTATGATCAGAGAAAAAATTTACGTTCGATAGAAATCTGAGGTTGCGTCGAGCTGGCGGCGAAAAATCTAGATTGCGATCGCAATCGCATTACAATGACGCGATCAGCCGTAAGCATATCTGAAGGATATTCATGCGAGTAAGGTGTCAGACCGATCATTCAATTTCATGGATGAAGCAACGGATGAATAGTCCTGTCTTGTCTTGTCTCCATATGTTCGAGAGTATACGGTGGCAGCAGTGGGTCTGCCATGGCACTCGCCGCCGCCGCCGCCGCCGCCGCAATTGATCGTTAGAAACGCGATGGCCGGAGGCAAGAACAGCACCGTTTGGAACCGAGTCGGACAGATAGGCGATCCTCATGAAACCGTCATCGTCGAGTTTATGTAAATAGAACAATGTGCAGTGAACTCGACCGCCGAGAGCGACTTATGCTGTGTATGGAGGAGACGGCGGTGGTGTAGGTCACGGTGCGAGTGTTATGTAGAGCATTAAAGGTGGAATAAGTTTTTGTATGGCTGCGGCAGCGGCCTCGGCGGCGGCACTTGTGCAACTTACAAGAGACAAATCAGTCTGGTCGATCAGTCGGTGCGTCGGCTGTGTGCACTGCTGCAATCTGGGGCGAATGCTGGTGAGAAGGCGGGCGATCAGGACAGTGACAACGACAACGACAACGACGATAGCCGATGTGTAGTCAGTCAGTCAGGCAGTCGGTGACTGGAATGTCTTCTGCTGCTGCTGGTGCTGCTACTGCTACTGCTACTGCTGCTGCTGCTGCTCTGTCGTTTCGTTGACTGGACTGATACGACCGAGGTATAACTCGCCATCAGCGCGATAGACGACCACCACCACCTCTGCCATGCTGGTACTTGCTCGACACTACCCGCGGCTGCTGCAGCCGCTCATCTGCGTACTGCAGATGTATTGGATCCACAACTGGATGATCCCGATCTACTTCTGCTTCCAGGTGGTCAGATGGGTGTGGTCGAGTATCAGCTACCTGCTGTGGCGGCATGTGTTCTTTCCTGATCTGATGGCAGCGATCGAGCGTGGCGAGCTTTACGAACGCTCGGCTCACGTCGAGACGATCCTGTTCCGGTGTAAAGCGCTGCCTACTGACAAGGTGCGTCACTGTCAGTTCATCACCCGGCACGACCGCTTCGCCCACCCGAATATGGTACTGGCCGAGAACGTGGTGCTCGGCGACGTGACGACCACCGAGGCCATATTCCTCGTCATGCCTCGGTCGATACGCCACTACTCGGCGACCAAGGCCACCTTCCAGTGGATCAACCTGATCGACGAAGTGCTGCAGCTGGTGTGCATGCCGCTAGATTCGTTTCACAAGATCGCCGACGAGGTAGGAGATCCGGCCTTGAGGGGGGACAAGGCGACTTTCATTTTCAACAGCGCGCGGTGCGGATCGACGTTCGTCTCGCAGGTGATCGATTACGCCGATCCGGAGACCATAGTCTTCAGTGAGCCGCCTATTCTGTTGTCGATGTACGTGCTGAAGCACTACTACGGACCGAAAGCGTTCACTCGCATTGTCAAGCACAGCGTGTTTCTGATGCTGAAACCGGTGAAGGGCAAGAAGCGGTTTGTCGTCAAGCCGATGTTCTTTGTGATGAGGGTGGCCGCTGAAATCAACCTGTCCTTGAAAAACGTCAATAGCATGTTCATATATCGCAAGCCGTTGAGCACGATTTTGGCCATGGAGAGGGCGTTCTCGGCGGTTCCGTTCTTCAGGCTCGTACAATTGACGTTTCTCTTAAACAACTGGTACCTCGGTTCGAAGATCATCGGCTTTCACCGCACGCCGGAGCTGGAGCCGGTCGCGGCGCAGTACCTGAAGCCGACAATGATCGAGACGTGCTGCATCATCTGGGCCGACAACTGGGTGCATTACAAGCGTAACGCTGAACTCTTTCCGTTCCCTTCAATCTTGTACGATACGGTGTTCGAGGACCCGGCCAAGTTTTACTCTAAACTGCTCGACATCTGCGGCATATCGCAGGACAGACTGGAGCACGTGCTCGAGTGCTGCAGCAAGGACTCTCAGGACGGTACTCCTTTTTGCCAGGAGTTCCTGCAGTACCATACGATGAGCGACGTCACCCCCTCTCTGCAGGCAAGGTTGGATAAGTACACCAGCACCTTGGGTCTGCCGCGGATCGTTCCGGACCCCTTGCCGTCGGCGAAACCGCAGTTCAGCGTCGCACATACGCCAAACGAGAAAAATGTACTTTTCAGCAGCAAGTACGTCGAAAAGACCCGCAGCCAGACTTTCTGGAAACCGATTCCTGTCCAATGCAT